CTACTCGCCACTCGCTCTCAGCTCTGCCTTCGGATGAGTCCGTAGAGTCGAGTGGTCCGTATGCAGAGCTTGTTCGCTGCCTCATGTACCTGATGACCTGCACACGACCTGACCTTGCATACCCTCTTAGCATTCTCGCACGCTATGTTGCTCCTGGGAGACACCGACCAGAGCACTTGGCTGCAGCGAAGAGGGTGTTGCGCTACTTGTGCAGTACATCGGGCATGGGGCTAGTGCTTGGAGGGCGCAGTCCAGTGGTCCTCACTGGGCACGCGGACGCTTCTTGGGCAGACGACCAGGCTACGCAGCGGTCGTCACAGGGTTACACCTTCAGCCTTGGTTCCGGCTCTGTTTCGTGGCGGGCTACCCGCTCGTCTTCTGTTCTCGGCTCCAGTTGTGAGGCCGAGATCTACGCCGGGGCCATGGCTGCCCAGGAGCTTCGCTGGCTCACCTACCTACTGACCGACCTTGGAGAGCCGCCGCGTTCTCCTCCAGTCCTGTACGTAGACAACAAGGCCATGCTGGCCTTGTGTCGAGAGCAGCGACTAGAGCACAGGACAAAGCACATTGCTCTCCGCTACTTTCATGCTCGTGAGCTGCAGCAGCGTGGACAGTTGCGACTTGCGTACGTGGCCTCTGAGGCCAACACTGCTGATGTCTTCACCAAGGCACTTGCGCCTTGTGATCATCAGCGTTGCTGCACGCAGCTGGGTCTTGTGCCTGTCTTGCTCACTTCTTGATCTTGCTTGTACCTTCACCTATATATACTCTTGCTCTTGCTTGCTTGACTCTTGTATATCTCTATATGTGATCTTGCATGTGAACTGGCCTTTTGGCCTTTGAACTTGTGCTCGGAATGTGTGGTGACTTTGTGATCCACCCTGAGCTTTGCTTTGCTTTGCTTGACTGGTCTTGTGACCCCTTGTTCTCCCCCACTTTGCCTATGGGGGTGTGTCAGAACATTATAGCTTATGCTGTTGTGTAGGCTATAGTGGGGTATCCCATAGGGGGTACAACCCAATCAGGGTTTCATATTTGTACTCACTTCATTCATAGCTCATTCATTCTCGTTCACTTCTTCTCAGTACTGTGACTCGGTGAGGGTCGGTGGGGCTAGGCGAGCAGTCAGTCTCGTCAGTAATTGGCCCAATTCCTACTGACTGCTGGCGTTTCCCTACCTTGGAGACTCCCTCCCCTGCTCTGCTCCACGGTGTCTCAGCTCCTCTGGGCACTCACTCTTGCGATGGCCCGGCCTATTGCAAGCAAAGTAGCGCCCCTTAAACGGCACGACAGCTGCATTTGTCGCAACGGCATGTACGGTGGCGTGCTCGATCGGTCCCCGAGGGCGATGTCCGTAGTAGGTCCCCGGTCTCGGACGACGCAAAATTTCGATCTTCTCGACGAGTGAGAGAATCTCGTTGAAATTCAAGAGTCCGCGTAGCATGATTTTGTGCGAGATGTCCGACTTCAGCCCTCCGACGTAACGGTCCACCCGCTCCACTTCGTGCATGTAGCCGACTTGCTCGCATAATGCGAGAAAATTGCTCGTATAGTCTTGAACCGACCCGAGCTGCCGCCAAGTACGCAGTCTCTGACGCGCCGAAATAGAAGCCGCGATCGGCTCGAAGCGCGCCTGAAGCCCTGCGCACCACGCATCCCATGTACTGTACTGGGCGGTTTCGCAGAATGAACTTCAGGTGACAGCTGGACACGTGGGCCCTTCCTCTTGCGACGGTGGCTTGTAGGCGCGTGGCGACGTCATGATTACTCGCCACCAGTCCATGGCGGATCCCCTCAGTAGGGAGACGGCGTATCGGATCTTCGCTGCGTCCGACTCGATGTAATTTACGTCGAAGAAGACGTTCATCGTGAAGACCCACGATTGAACCGTCGGACCTCCACACTGGCTTGGGTCGAAACAGGGCGGGCGCTGCGGCTTGAGCAGCATTGGTGCCATGATGGCGTGGTCGCCACTTGTCGCCGCAAATTCCACGTGCCGACGGGCTTCGCGAGGCTCCCGCGGGCTCACGAGGCGAGCGGCAGGAGCAACGGACCCACGGGCGACTGGCGCAGCTGGCTACGACTGGGCTACCGGAGCAGCGCCCCGGACTACTGGTGCTGCTGACGACACGACGACAGCCTCCGTTCAACCTCCCCCAACTGTCCCACCCCCCTTTCACACACTCCTTGCTGCACCCCTAGCTCCACTCCCACGTCACCCCCCTTTTCACACACCCCCTGCTGCACCCTAGGTTCACTCACACCCCACCCCCTAGCACCACTCCGTCGACTCCCACCCACCCACCCCCCTCAGTGGCAGCAGTGGGAGACAGAGGAGGAGGAGGAGCAGGGGAGACCACACACCCGCCACCCCCTACTCGCCACCCCCAAACCCTAACACAGGGCAGGGCGGGATGGCGGGTAGGGAGGTTACGGGGGGGGGGGGGGGGGGAAGGGGGGGGGGGGCCGACGCGCGGCCTCCCAAGGCGCCAAAGCAGGCGGCAGAAGGGGCGACGCTCGCCCCCCCCCCCCCCCCCCCCCCCCCCCCCCAGGTCGCCCCTCCCGCACGTGGCCCCCTCAGGTCGCCTCGACAGGCGACGGGAAAAGAGGGAGGGGCGGTGCACGTGCCCCCGGTGCGCCGCGACAGGCGACGGAGCATGGCCGGGGCGGGGCCGGGGCAGGGCCGAAAGGGGGGGCGACGGGGTCGCGAAGGGGCCGCGAGGGGCCTGGAAGGGCGGCGACGGGCCGCTAGGGGCGGCGACGGGGCCGCGAAGGGGCAGCGACGGGGCCGCGAAGGGGCCGCGAGGGGCCGAGAAGGGCGGCGACGGGGCCGCAAGGGGTTGGCGACGGGGCCGCGAAGGGTTGCGCGAGGGGCACGCCACGGGGCGTGTAGTACACAGAGTAGCAGCGGAAGCAGTTAGGTGGGCCCACAGGCTAGGAGCGTAGATGCTCTGATAGCATGTGAAGAATGAGGAATGAAGAAGAGGTTTGCACTAGCAGCAGTTGGCATACATATAGGAAACCCTAATTGGGTTGTACTCGCTATAGAGTACCCCACTGCAGGCTAGACAATTATAACATTCTGACAGCTGGAGTATTCACTGTGGATTGCTGACGCGCGGAGTCACGTTCCGCTGTGAGCGTCGCAATTTTGAGCGTCGATTCTTCGACTTGGCGCACGAGACGGTTGCGTTGCTCCTGCGTCAGTGTCGCGAGAGTGAATTCGGTCATGGCGGGGGTGTCGGGCAAGCTCAGCGAGAGCCTCTATCGTGGCCGTGCGTGCTTACGGGAGAGCACTACAAGCGGCTGTGCTGTGTCGCTGAGAGACGTCTACCCCCCCAAAAAAATTGAGATAGTGGGGAAGCGAAGGTGTGGGTGCGGTCCGAGAAGAGATCGTAGGCTCTGAATACCAAGTGTTACGAGTGCAATGGAGTGAGCAAGCGAGAATTGCACTATCGAAGCAAAAGTACAATGAGCGAAGGAGCGATGAATCTGTAGCGAAACTACAGTGGTAACGGTAGTGCGTGAAAATGGGGTGCGCGACGGGCCTGGCGCCGAGGTTGGGAAATGCCGAGGCGGAGGTCCGGAGCGCGGGTTACCAACCGAACCATGAGGTTGGGTCGCGTCGTGAACAGTGGCGGGAACAGTATCGAGGCGAATGTCGCGAGTGGTAACAGTTTACTGTTGGGTGCTGTTGGCGGGAACAGTGGTGTACGTGCTGAGCAGGGACGCGAAGTAAGGAAAATGAATTTTCCTTACACCCATCCATTGCCTATGGTATTTGTCCAGTGAATTTTTTTGGATTTGACCTACCCTTGCGATCAGTGTAGCACAAGCTCAAAAACCTGATTATCTGTGTGACCCCTTATAGAAAACCTTTTCCATCAGGGTTTTCCGCACTTTTCTAAAATCTACCCTGTCGCATCAGTGTTCTAAGAAAATGTAAGCCCGGCCAATGGTGGCCCACTCTGTGCCAGCACATGTGCTGTCAAGGCCTAAATTCCGGCTTTGACAGTTGGCAATCGGGAATCCCGGGTTACGGGAAAGGGGGGGTGGGGGTACTGGGGGGGCGGGGGGGGGGGGGGGGGGGGGGGGGGGGGGGGGGGGGGGGGGGTAGGGTACTCGTTTAAGGGTAAAACTCGTTATGGAATTCGGGAACCCTTAGTCATCAGTGTGCCTTAAATGTAAACCCTGGCATATCAGGGAAAACCTAGCTCCTAAAAAAATACCTGGGGCCATCAGTGTGACTACCAAAAACCACCCTGATTATCAGGGTATCAGGGTGATTTAAACTGATAAATTTTCCCTGTATTTGTCTTGTTGGATGCAGCAAGTTTAGAATGCAGCAAGTTTAGCAGCTTGAGTTCGTGTCCGTGGGGATGACATGTCAACATGGCAGTGTCAACACGAAGCGCGCGGAATTTTGGAGTGTCAAGCACTGTACCTTCAGTGTCAAAACGAAGCGCAGCACAAAATCCTGCGACACAACGTGATTGGTTGGGCACGAATTGTTGCAAGACCTTGCAGTCGCACAAGACTTTACATCCACACGCGATTTCTTGCAAGACCTTGCAGTCGTACAGTACTTTACATCCGTCGATTGGGCAGGTGTGGGTAAAATGAATTCTCGATCCTACCAGTTAGTTGGCTGGATGGAGAAACAATATTCGCAGAGTGGGATGTCCGACTAAATTAACTGGCTGGCAGCTTTCATGTCGTTGACACTCTGCTACAATATTGGCAAGTGTCGAAACTTCACATGTCATCCCTACGGACATCACCTGATTGAAAGCCTCTTTCGCCAGGTAACATCGACCGTCGCCATCGTCGTCGTCTCGCCGTCGTCTCACAGACACCACAACAGGAGAGCTCGTAACCATGGCATCGCATCGCGCATCCCCCCCACCACCAGCATTTCATACTGGATAGTTGTGTGGTCCGAACTTGCCGGCCCGCAATCAACGCTCACTTCAACATTACCTCACTTCATCCTCTCGTTCATGCCCGTTCCGCACCTTTCGTTGCGTGCGCCCGACCCCCGCGAGCTCAATGACCGGCTCGCGAAGCCGCGGTAGCGTCGGCGCGGTTCACGCGCGGAGCAACGGCACGGCGCTGCTGCCGCTAGTCGCGGTGATTGTCCTGGGATCCGTTCTTCCAGTCGCGCCGTCCACCGACGCTCCGACACTGCACGGTGCGGATCGACTGCGCACTCATCCAACGGCTAGGAGCAGCCCGTCCGTGCCGATCCAGAATCGTTTGCTCCCCTCTCGCTCCGCGTTCCCCTCCCCAGTACCAACCGCATTTGCAAAATTCACCTACCCCGCTTGTTCCCTTTACCCGCTCTCCACTTCCTCCTCTCTCTTCCCTCTCCTCCCCGTCCCTCCCTTTCCCCGGTCCCCATCCGTCCCTTCCCCCCCTTCCCCTCCCGCTCTCCTTTCGTTCCAGAGTGCGACTCGTCGGACCCGCTGCACTCACCGCTCGCGCGCTCCGCGGACCACGCGCACCGCTACCACCGCCCGCCGCACCTGTGCTGGAGCAAGGCGGAAATTCCGTGCTATGCGGGCAGCCATGGCATGGCGGAGCGGTCCGAGACGCTCAAGCGCAAGCTGCGCGCGTACCACGAGTACCGGCGCGACTGCGACGCGAAGGAAAACATCACGTCACTAAAGTCGAAACTGCGCGGGGCGAACGCGACGCAGTGCAAGTACCTGCTATGGCAGTTCAGCCCCGGAGACGGGCAGGGCAACCAGTACATCTCGCTCGTATCCGCGTTTGTGTACGCGCTGCTAACGAACCGCGTGTTTCTGCTGCTAACGGAGCGCGGTCCGGGGAAGCTGATGTGCCAGCCGTTTGAGGGCGCGCCGTGGTTTGTGTTCTCAGACGTGAAAGGAGAGCTGTGGGACGCAGAGGTGCTGCACATCAAGCTCTCGTATCCTTACTTTCAAGAGCGCGTCAAGGCCCTTGAGAATGGCACCAGTGACACCATGCCCGTACCCAACGTGTGCGAGTGCCTCTGCCTCCCTCTTTTCGTTCCCGCCCCCTTCCTCCCCTCCTCACTGTGCTTGCTCCACTCCCAACCTGTCGCCCCTCCCCTTTCCCCTTCCCGTTCCCCTTCCCTCCCCTCCATTCCTCATCCCTCGTGTCCCCCGTATCCTCATACCATCCCGACCCGACCGTCTCCATCCCATTCCCTACTCATCCTCCCATCCCCTCTCCCCGTATACTCATGCACATCCACCCACCCCGCTCCCCGTCTCCCCCCAATCAGAGCGAACATCAACCTACAGCACAACATGGCCAACACGAGCATCTTCTTCTGCGAATCCGAGCAGCAATGGCTCGCACGCGTGCCCTCCCTCCTGCTCCGATCAAATCAATACTTCCTCCCGGCCCTATTCTACCACCCCTCCTTCCGCCGCCACATACGTGACCTCTTCCCCTCTGGGCGCATCTTCCAGACCGTCTCTCAGCTCATCATGTTCCCCAACAACCGCCTCTGGGCGGCCATAACGGACAACATTCGCCGCCGGGCGGCGCCGGCCGCGGCCCGGGTGGGGCTGCAGCTGCGGCAGAGCAGCGAGGGGATTATCGCGCAGGCAGCAGAGTGCATAGTGCAGGTCATGCAGGGGGATGCCGTGGCGCTGGCGAGACGAGAGAGGGAGAAAGGGGACGGGGAGAGGGAGGCGGGAGGGGAGCCTGATGGGGTGGGGGCAGGGGGAGGAGGCGTGGGGGGAGCGGGTGAGGGTGGTGCAGCCGTGGGCGGTGGGACGGGGGAAGCGACGGCGTATGGAATGGGTGTGGCGTCTGAGGAAGGCACTACTGCTGCTCTTGCCATTGCCCGGGCTTTGGAAGGAGGGGGAGCGCCTGCTGCTGCTGCCGCCGCCGCTGCTGCTGCTGTTGGTGGAGAGAGTGGCAGCGCGAGTGGCAGTGGAGGGGGTGTGAGTACGTCAAGCAGCTCGACCGTGGTGCTCATTGCTGCCCTGAATGAGTTCGCTCCGTACAACCTTTCCCTGCTGCTTTTCCCCAATGCTTCTTCCTCCCCACCACTCACCTACACCAAGATTGTTGTCACAGACAGCCCCAGCAACGCCACTACTGACAACAGCACCAGTATGGCACTCCCCACCAGTACAGAGACCACTACCCCCACTGCCACCACCACCGCCACCAACAGCAGCAGCAACAGCAACAGCAACAGCAGCATCGACACCGCCGCAGATCTCACCCCAGTAAGCACCGTCACCAGCATCCCCCCCAGCAGCAGCACCATCACCAACAGCACCATCATCAGCAACGGCACCTTCTCCCTGGATCGGCTAACCACAGAGACATCACAAACCGGCCTGGACGCAGAGCTACAGCACGCCATCGTAGACATATACACCGTCGCCCTCGCCTCAGACACCATTCTCGTCTTCCCCGCCTCCACCTTTGGGTACCTCCTCTCGTCGCTCTTTGGCCGGCCTGCATTCTTTGCGGCCAAGACCTGCCAGGAAGCGCCCTTGGAGCCGTGCTATCACCACCCCCCGCAGCCACACCAGTGCACGGGCGGGCTGCATGTGGGAGGGCCGCCGTTTAATGAGTCGGACCTGGAGCTTCCGTTTGCCAAGTGTCCAGATGCATCGGGTGGGCTCTCCCTGTTGTATAAGAGACCACCTTAGATTAATGTTGCTTGGTCTAGTATGTGGTCTGAGACAGAAGTCATGTGTTGCTTGAAGTGGTATATATAATTTGAGTAACGGTTCATAGGCTCAAAATGCAGTTGCCACTGCTGGTACAGTACATGGATGCTTTTTGGCTCATCAGAGCACGAGTGATCTCTTAGATTTTGTACCAGCAGGGTGAATACTTTCGCTCACCATAAGCCACCGTCGTCCATGGGGATTCATGCGCTTTTTAGGGCGCGCGTCTTTTGGTGTAAACGTTCAGAATTTCAGTTGAACTTTTGGTGGTAACCGGTTTCGCAAATTTCGTTAGATGCTTCGCATGTGCATTGTGTGTCCAAGGACAATGTCATGTCTGAAGCAGGACCGAATACATGGTTGAAATTCTGGCACCAAACAGTCTCGCACGAAAATTCAATCGTGTGTCCTCCTGACCAAAGAGGATGAAGAAGCGAAGCCTGCGACAGTCGCAGCTGACGTCGTTAGCACGGGCGACTTTGTCAGAATCCCAACCACTAGACCATTGGGATAAAATGGCTTTTTTTCAGTAACGGGTCAGTGCGCCCATAACCCCCCAGGCGAACGCGCCTGTAACCCTCTCCAGGATCAATCGGGCATCCACAGTGCAGATCTACTGACACCCCCCCACACTGGGAGGCCCAGGACTAAGCACAGCGGCAACGGCCTACATGTGCATACACCGGGAATCGAACCCGAGACCGCTCTGATACCATGTCAGAATCCCAACCACTAGACCATTGGGATAAAAGGGCTTTTTTCAGTAACGGGTCAGTGCGCCCATAACCCCCCAGGCGAACGCGCCTGTAACCCTCTCCAGGATCAATCGGGCATCCACGGTGCAGATCTACTTACAGACTTGATCGACAGGGTTCCGGCTTCGCCACTCACACGTGGCGGTGGACGCGGGGGTCATACGTTGCGCCCTATCATAAGGCCAAACCGGGTAACCTACGACTGTTGGCCGCGACTCGGGAAAGTTTCAAAAGTTCAACTTCGACAGTCGAACTTTTGTGTGTCTTGTGATTTTCGAGGGTGTTGGAACCGCGACTCGGGTTACAGACGTGGCTAGACTCGAGTCTAGGTCGACCTAGGTTCAGACGTATACAGTTCAACCAAAAACTTGAGTTTTGCTGATAAAAAAAACCAAAAGACACGCGCCCTTAAGACTTTGTCAGCAAAAACCTCCGAAATAATAGGCGCTAAACTTTTTTTTTGCGCACGAACCAATAGGTATAATAGCTGAATTCGAACATGAGCCACTCGAATATGCAATAATATTCAGGTTCTTAAATGCTTTTCTCTACGCCTATAGGGATTCATGCGCGCCGAACTATTCTTTGCACACGAACCAAGCCGAGAAGGCTCTAACATGTGCAACTCGAATATGCAATAACATTCACGTTCTTGAGTGCTTTTCCTACGCCTATAGGGATTCATGCGCTATATGAGCATCTGTCAGAAAAAACAGCAAAAATGTCAGAATGTTATAATTGTCTAGCCTGCAGTGGGGTACTCTATAGCGAGTACAACCCAATTAGGGTTCCCTATATGTATGCCAACTGCTGCTAGTGCAAACCCCTCTTCTTCATTCCTCATTTTTCACATGCTATCAGAGCATCTACGCTCCTGGCCTGTGGGCCCACCCAACTGCTTCCGCTGCTACTCTGTGTGCTGCACGCCCCGTGGCGTGCCCCTCGCGCGACCCTTAGCGGCCCCGTCGCCACCCCTCGCGGCCCCGTCGCCGCCCTTCTCGGCCCCTCGCGGCCCCTTCGCGGCCCCGTTGCCGCCCTTCCAGGCTCCTCGCGGCCCCTTCGCGGCCCCGTCGCCGCCCCTATCGGCTCCGTCGCCGCCTCCAGCGGCCCCGTCGCCGCCCCTTCGCGGCCCCGTCGCCGCCCCTATCGGCCCCGTCGCCGCCTCCAGCGGCCCCGTCGCCGCCCCTAGCGGCCCGTCACCGCCCTTCCACGCCCGTCGCGGCCCCTTCGCGGCCCCGTCGCCGCCCCTATCGGCCCTGTCGCCGCCTCCAGCGGCCCCGTTGCCGCCCCTTGCAGCCCCGTCGCCGCCCCTTTCGGCCTTGCCTCGACCCTACCCCGGCCCCGCCCCTGCCATGCTCCGTCGCCAGTCGCGGCGCACCGGGGGCACGTGCACCGCCCCCCCCTCTTTTCCCGTCGCCCGTCGCGGCTCCCTGGGGGGCCGCGACCTTGGGGGGGGGGGCGAGCGTCGCCCCTTCTGCCGCCTGCTTTGGCGCCCTGAGAGGCCGCGCGTCGCCCCCCCCCCCCCTTCCCCCCCCCCCCCCCCCGTAACCTCCCTACCCGCCATCCCGCCCTGCCCTGTGTTAGGGTTTGGGGGTGGCGGGTGTGTGGTCTCCCCTGCTCCTCCTCCTCCTCTGTCTCCCACTGCTGCAGCTGCCGCTGAGGGGGGTGGGTGTGTGGGAGTCGACGGAGTGGTGCTAGGGGGTGGGGTGTGAGTGAACCTAGGGTGCAGCAGGGGGTGTGTGAAAGGGGGGTGCTGTGGGAGTAGAACTAGGGTTTGAGCAGGGGGTGTGTGTCGAGAGGTGTGGGGCAGCTGGAGGAGGTTGTGTGAAGGTAGCTGTCGTGTCGCCTGCAGCGCGTGTAGTCCGTCGCCCTTGCTTCGGTAGCCAGTGAGCCTGTTGCACCAGTCGCCAGTGGGTCCGTTGCTCCTGCCGCTCGTCTATAGCCGCGGAGCCAGTTACTCCAGTAGTCCGTCGCCCTTGCTTCGGTAGCCACTGAGTCAGCCGCTCCTGTGCCTGTGCCTCTGCAGCTTCAGTCGTTGCCTCCCATCTTCTCTCCATCCACAGTTCCTCCTCCTCCTCACTTGCCCGCTGTGATTAACTTTAGCTTTGCTCGCTATTGTGAACTCCTGCTCTATGCCTGCTTGCTCATTGTGCTGATTACACCCCACTTTGGCTATGGGGGTGTGTCAGAATGTTATAATTGTCTAGCCTGCAGTGGGGTACTCTATAGCGAGTACAGCCCAATTAGGGTTTCCTATATGTATGCCAACTGCTGCTAGTGCAAACCCCTCTTCTTCATTCCTCATTTTTCACAAAAAATTATGGGCGCCGAACTTTTCCTTGCGCACGAACCCAGCCGAAAAAGACTCTGATAGGTGTATTTGAACACGAGCAGTCGATTTTGCAATAACATTCGGGTTCTTGAACGCCTTTCTCTACCGCATATAGGGATTCATCCGCTATCTAAACATTTGTCGACAAAAGCCGAAAACATGGAAGCCGAACTTATCTGTTTGCATGAACTAAACTGAAAAGTCTCTAGTAGGTGTATTTGAACATGAGCCATCCAAATATGAAATAACATTCGGGTTCTTGAATGCTTTTCCCTAAGCCTGATGTGGATTCATGCGCTACCAAAGCATTTGTCAGAAAAAACAGCCGAAATCATGGGCGCCAAACTTTTATTTGCGCACGAACCAAGCCGAAAAGGCTCTATTACACTTAGTTGAACATAATCCACTCGAGTATGCATTAACATTTCGGTTCTTGAATGTTTTTTCCTACGCCTATAGGGATTCAAGCGCTATCTAAGCATTTGTCGACAAAAACAGCCGTAATCATGGGCGCCGAACTTTTCTTTGCGCACGAACCAAGCTGAAAAGGCTCTAGTACGTATATTTGAACATGATCCACTTGAAAATGCAATAACATTCGAGTGTCAAATGTTATGTCTACTACAGTTTGTTTAGGCTGTAGTGGGGTAGTTACTATGGGGTACAGTAAGTTTAGGGTTTCCTACTTGTACCCAACTTTTTCCTAGTGCAATCACTCTTGTTCATTCTGACATGGTATCACGAGCCTAGGTTAGCCACCTAGGACCGCTTACTACTACGGGCCCACTATTCCGCTCGACGCGCCCTCGTGCGCCCTACCTTTCGTGTGCCCTCGTGCGCCCTCGTGCGCCCCGCTATTCGTTCTGCCCGCGTGCCGTCTTCTGCCCGTGCGCACGCAGCCCGCTAGCCGCTCGTAGGCCGCTCGCGCGCAGGCCGTAACCCGCGCGCCGCGGCTGCAGCACACCGGCGCCTGCAGCCTGCCGGAACCCGCGCGCGTCGCCCCTTGCCACTTCGCGACGCCCTTACGGGACCCGAGCGTCGCCCCCTGCCTCTTTGCGACGCCTTTGCGGGACCCGCACGTCCCCCCCCGCCTCGTCGCGATACCTCTGCGGGACCCGCGCGTCGCCCTGCCTCTTCGCGACGCCCCTGCGGGACCCGCGAGGCGCGGCTCCTGCGCGTCGCGCCGCCCCAGCGGGACCCGAGCGTCGCCCCCGCTCGTCGCGACGCCCTCTGCGGAGCCCGCGCGGCGTCGCCCTTGCCCGCCGCGTCGCCCTGCCCTATCCCGCGCCCGCCCTTTGGATGGCCGCCCCTGCCTCGCCCTGCAGCAGCTGCCTTCCCGGCCCTGCCCCACCCCACAGCAGCTGCTGTCGCAGACTGCCCCGCCCTGCGGCAGCTGCCGTAACGGCCCCGCCCCACCCTGCAGTAGCGGCCGTCGCGGCCCTGTTCCTGCCCTGCACCAGCTGCCGTTGCGGCCCGGTCCCGCCCTGCAGCACCTGCCGCGGAGCCCCTAGCCGCAGACGTCACCCCGCCCTGTTGCAGCTGCTGCGGAGCTCCCTGCCACGGTCGCGGCCCCGCCCTGCCGCTGTGGCGGCCCCGCAGTCGCCTCCGTCGTGCGCCTACCCTTCCCACCAATGGTGAGCACTGCCCTGCCCGCGCTGCTACCGCTACTACTACTGCTACTGCTGTTCCTGCTGCTGCTACTGCTACTGCTGCTCCTGCTGCTACTGCTTCTACTGCTGCTCCAGGCGTGGCCAGATGTAGCTCCAGGGCAGTCCGCGTGTGTCCCTCACGCCCTTGAAGCTTCGTGAGTGGTACGCCAGTTGGGGTTGTCGGGGTGGCCGTAGTGGGAGTCGTCCTGGAGTGGGTAGTTCGGGAGCTTCTTGTAGTGGCCC